AGTTGTTTTCTGTCTTGTTAAGTCAGTTGCTGAAAAAAGACGCGGCTTTGACAGTTATCACCTTATTTACTCCTGTGGCTTTTAGTTCTAACAGCCAGCCAAAGAAATCGGAAATCTTGTCCTTTAGGATCAAGTTTGCTTACCATTACTGCATATTCCCTGGTATCTGAGCTAGCGCATGGATACAAGAGCGGGAATAACCGAAAGTGATTTAGGCGGAATTTGCGACTGAAAGAAAGAATTGAACTTACTTAATAGAAGGGCTGACTGAATAAAAAATATTTATGAATTCCTTGAAAAATAAAGTGCATGCATTTGCTAGTCAATACCTCCGTAATGGTTTTTCCACTGGCTGAAGTAAACAATACCATAAATGCTAGAATAATGCAGTTCTATGGATAAATACCAAGATGGAAAAACTATCTATCACCTTTAATAGAATCAATTAATTTCTTTTGCCTTTATTTTCCTTTTACTGTTCAAAGAATAAGGTTTTACAATGCCAAAGCGCAATTAATGACAGTGCCAAGGCCTCTGCAACCTCTGGTTGATGACAACGTTCAATTATCCATACGGGAATATCGAAAACGTCTCCATCAGGTGAAATGCCTGTTTAAAGTTAATGGTTTTTTTTTAATTTTACCTTTTTTGGCCCCTTAAGAGATAGCTCACTCAGTCTGGGGATCTCTGTCAGGGTTTTTTTCCATCTGCAAATATTCATGCTCCTGTAAAAGTATATTGAATTAGTTAACTAAAAATATTTTTTGTTTGGGTTTTGAACCAAGCCATCAAAGTATGCAATTAGAGGACAAGGAGATGCGCTTAATTATGTTAATTCTTTCTTACTTTATTGAAATTAAAATGGTCTGATTCCCTGCCTTTTTTCGCGGAACTCCTGTTGTGCACAAGTCTTCTTAGAAAATCATCAAAATAATACATTTTGTCGAGAATAAAATGTGGAACTGTGCTGAATTCAATCACATGCCACAAAGAATTAATTTAAATATACGGTAGATTTTGAGTTGTAGGGTAAGTTTGATGTTTTCTTACCTGTTTCTTTCTTGGTGGCCGCTGAACAAATGGACAGCTCAAAGTCAAATGCACACAAGAATGCGGTTTTAATTTATGACAAAAAATATCTGGCAAAATTAACACCAATTTCCTACCACTTCGCAGCTCAGCATCCATCATCCACTGACAAATTCGAAAGCCCGATGAAGTAAGTTCAGTTTGGACAAATCAAGTCTAGGTACCTAGTGTAGCGTCCCGAGACTTCCCTGAGGACGAAAAAAGGCACAATACTCGGGCAGAATATATATATTCAGCACAGAGATGTTTGGGCCACTGGCATGGTCCGAAGACCAGCCCACACAGCGAGGTACAAGAGGGCATATTCAGGAGTTCAAATGTGGCGCCTCACCAATACCGAGAGATAAACCACCAACGTGTTACATAGCCTTCCTCCTCTTTTAAGCGTTGTCCCCGGCGCTCCCGCAGGTCAACCTCCCGCGCCATCCATTACAATGTAGTTGGTGCTGTAGGAAAACACCCGCGATCCGACCGTGCCACTCACCAAATTAGCGTGAAACTGCGGGGATACTTGACCTCAACGTCACTGATCCTTCTTGGCAATTTAACTGGATCTGAAGTTTCGTCCGATTTATGAACTTGATTCAAGACGGGGAACTGCGCTGGCCATCATGCATGTCCATAGGTGGATGTAGGAACACTGGCCTAAAGGTATATTTGTGTAAGGGAGGACAAGATTTGAAACAGGTCTATGGGGGAAGGTAGGGAAAATCCGTAAAGAAACTTCCAGATGGTTCACGTCTAGTGTCGCTTCAGTTGTTAATGGTTCTCCTGCAAAACACGGACTAGGATAGATGCCGAGGAAGATGTCAACATTGACCCTCTATTAGGGGTCATCACCATTCTCCCATCCATAGCATATGTACTTCTTCCCCTCCGCTGAGGTTAATCACGCAGAAGTTAAAAACAGGATGCGTGGCCTTAAGAATGGGGTTCGCTTCCCACTGCCACCAATGTAGCGTCCCGAGACTTCCCTGAAGATGGAAGAAGGCACAATACCTGGGCAGAATATATATTCAGCACAGAGAAGGTGTTTGGGCCACTGGCGTGGCCAGAAGGCCAGCCCACCCAGCGAGGTACAAGGGGGCAAATTCAAGAGTTCAAAAGTAGCACCTCACCAATATCGGGGAATAAACCACTATCGCATTACACCTAGTAATTGATGAATTACTCAGTCAAATAGGCGTTCAATTCGGAGAATGTCTCCTCACCAGCCCAAGAAGGTTTCACCGCACCCCTTATCGGCAAGCAAAATTACGTATTCAAAAGTTGACCTGACATTCTTAGAGCACATTCTCACCATTAATTGCGTTTGCATTTTATCCTCCGCCGTAGTATTCCTTTTAACTGATTGTATAATCCAACTTAGATTACTCAGGTAATGCAATAAAAATACTTGACTTTGTGTTATTTTTTGCATCAGATCAGAATCGGCCATCGCTCGGACAAAGCAAGCGATTGTAGTCAGTCTAAGTGAAGTACCATTGGATCTTGTTTCAACCACGCCCACAGCCAATTTGGTGTACGCTTACGATTCAAGCCACACTGTCACGAATCAGGTATGTCCCTGGCATATCCCAGTCGCATTGCAAGCGCATGGTTCAGTGCACCAATTCTTCACACCTCCGCTTCCACTTTCTTATCGGGCTCTCCGTCAACTAATGTGAGGCATTCACCGCCTGTTACAAATACTGCAAGTCATTTGAGAAGCCCGTTGGTTCACAATGCAGCACGACTGTCTACCAATAATGCATTGCCTTTCAGAAGCCGTAAGCTTTGAATCAAGCTACTCCACTATTATTTCGGTAAAGGTAATCAACAAGGACGTTTCAAGGCATATCAATTTGGAAGAATGCTTAGGTTTTCGTATACAGAGCAGCTGTGGCTAAGAGAGTGGGCAATTATTCACGATATCAAGATGGTACAAATATCCCAGCGAGTAAAAGACCTGCAAGTTTAACTGCATCAGTAAAATGAATATCGTTTTGTTATATTTTAAATCTCACACCGTAATTTTGAGTTATTAAATACTGCACCTTGGCTCAGTTGGTTAGGGCAAATTGAATGGGAAAACAAGACGGGAAGTAAAATAGCATTGAATTGCAACCTTGCCCTTCGACATCCCAACAACCTTCACTTCCTCAAATTCATTGGTCATTGGGCAGAGGCAATTTGGCCAACAACAGCCCATATGTAAGTGCAGTTGGATTTGGCTGTAAAAGGGAGAAAAAGCAAAAATTTTCACAGTGTTCATGTCAGGTGAGGGATAAGAAATGATTCCCAAAAAGTAAGAACATTTTTACTGAGAATGTATGGGGCTCACAGTACTGTTTTCACTTAAAACTGGTACCTAGTGAAAATGCTGTAAAAGAAAATCGAGTAAGTTTTTTTTTGTGGACTTTTAAATCAAGAAAGAAAGCTGACTTGACGAACGCCAGTGCAACCTTGAACATTGTCATTAAGGTTGCTTTTTCGGAAAAATTCAGATCAAAGCAAATGGACGACTTTGCGCAGCAGGGACAACTTCCATAGCATCATCCTACGCAGTCTCAAATGTGATGCTCTGTGGCCGGCCGAACCAGAGGCAGAGTGATCACCCCGGGAAACAAAAATCAACACGGAATCAGGTAATCATATGTGTTAAAAATTAGTGGTGATATTTATGATTGACTAGGTAACTCTGATAAGTTGTCAATATCTTAGGATTTTATGTAAATTCCAGTAAATTTGAACTATTCGGTATAGCAAGGAAGAAAATTTTACTTAAGTATAGTTCTACTTTCTCAATATTTACATTAATCATTTTTTGATGAAACAAGAGTTATACGTGAAAACGTCGGTGATGTATCTCGTGAATTCTGGTAGATCTACAATTTCATCCTCCTTGGAAAATGCATTTTTTTATGACTTAATGGCTTTACATCTCTCACGACAGGCCGATGCTCCACGGCGAAGCCGTTTTACAAATCCATGTTTAGCTATAGAAAGATTCACCTAATAGCAGAGTTAGTTGATGTAACACATGAAATAACCTCCTTTGGCTCCATTGCTTTTCCATCACGCCCTGGTGCCAACTCGTCTACATGGGAATCATTCTATTGCTAGAAATTTAATGGAGGCATCGTTTCTTTATGTATTTCACGCAACTTTGAATAATTGTCACTAGAATAGCTGCGGTGATCGTTTCACAAACATTTGTTTTATTCTTTATTCGCCGTATTGCAGAGCTCGAGACTGAAGTAATTGACAAAGATCGGATCCGACTCAGGCATTTCTCGAAGAACCTCCGTAGATTCAGCTATCCACTTTATAAGCCTTCTTCTAGAGTTCTTTGAATTTGTGGTGCAATCCATCAAATCAGGAGTTTATTTGAAAAGAAATTTTTTTTCTGTAAACAGTTTTTTTATGTACATGAGCTTGAATTCTATCAAGCTGCAGAATAGAATAACCAGAGTAACAAATGTTTCAGCGCAAATTTTTTTTCCAGCGCGAGTCGGTAAGCCGAAATTACGGCTTGAGAGTACTTAATCGCTGGGCGATCGCTGGCGGCTCGGGTGGTTCCACTTTCGCATACTTGCAGTGTCTTAGTCGGTCTTGCCATCGTAGTGATCACTAGCACTGTCTATCATGTACACGATAATGGAGCTAAAGATCTCGAATTACGAGGCATTCTAATAATGCTTGGGAAGCATCCGTAGAAGAATGAACTCCTAGAGAATTGTATAGGGAGTTTTTTAGTGACTACCAATACCTCCAGCCCTGTGCAACGGAAACAGTTTCTGGAATTTACAATTTTGTGGATCCTGTCCACTTTACACAAGTGTATTTCTGCGGTGTAGCCAGCAGTAGTTGGTGGTTGGAGGCACCAGGAGGTGGATGCTATCAATGCTAACAGTCGATTGGTCGATGGTATTTGGAGAGGTGAGGCTCCATGTCGACCTGCTCTACAATCTCTTCTTACGAACACAGCGTCACTTCGAAGAGGTACCCTTCAGATGGTCGACAACTCTCCCTTACACCATTTATCGAAACCTTGACTATGTGGCCAATCGTTTTCGATCGTAAAATTCTTTCTGTAGTCCAAATAAGACCGTTTTGGTATGTTTACAGTTCTGATTTTCTGTAACGCTAAAACTACGCTGTCAATAAATTAACATATTTCACATTTTTTTAAAAAGTAATAGGGAAAAGATGTAGCGAATTTGGACACCATATTTTATTCACCTTAGTCCAACGTCCTTCTTTTGCAATTATAATTTATCAGAAAAAATAGTAAACTACTAATAAACCGGTCTAAATTCTTGAAGAAACGAAACGAAATTGAGATTTTGAGTGTATTAAAAGCGGAGAGATGGGATAAGTGAGTCGTCGAGAGATGAAGAGTAACACGTTCTGCGTGGGAAAAGAGTGGGTGCTTATTCCCTCACAAGCATCGACGGACAATTCTAACACGTCGGTTGCGATGTAGGTACCTATGGATGTGCTTCTGAAATTACAAGGATGTAATGTTGGCTAAAATTTAATTTTACTTTATTCTAAGCGGTAGTAACATGCTTTCATAGAAGTGAACCGAGCTAAGGTAAAATGAATGAATGATTGCACGACAGAGGATTATTTACTGGTAAATGGGCAAAACTAATAAAAGATGGAACTCAACGACTCGACAACACATTCCAGGTTCAAGAGGTTTAGTCGAGTGCGTTATTGCCGTCATAATCCTTCACGATTATGCCAGAAGGGGTGTTGAGGGGGGTAATAAGTGTTAATTCTTTTTCTCTACTTTGTCCAACCCTAATCTCTGTGCCAAATGACACTGCGACAACACAAAAGCATTAAATCAAAGGAGCAGTGGAGAGCCCATGGAATGCTCGCGCTGACTACGGTGCTCTGTAGTCGGTGAAAAAGATAATTAAAGACGTTAAGAGATACGACGACGTCAAGTTTACCAAGATGTCGAGATGGCATGACTATCGATGAAGGCATTTTGCGAAGTCCATCGTGGTTTGGGGACAGACGTAAATTTAATTCGAATACTGTGAATAAGATGTGTAGGCTTAAAAAATGAGGCACCAAATGACTTGCGCTCGTCAATGTCTGAAACCCAAATTCTATGCATGAAAACCAAGTCACATGATTTAGCAAATGGTTACAACCGATTTCCGTTGTGTCGAGAGATGCTTATGTTTACAATCGGTATGCGAGCCAGTGTCTCGGAAGTGATCCGATTGTAGTCGGCTGAATTGGCCATTGGATTATATCCACTATGTTGCTACGATTACTGAAGGTTTTTTTTTAAATTCTTGAATTCCACTGGGTAGAACAAAAGCCCCTACACCTACAGCATTCTTGTAACAGTAAAGGACGATCTTAATTAAACAAAAGTAGTAGTCTACCAATGACTAAGAGCTTCAACGATTTTTAAGGTAGGGTAATAATTCTAGTTTACTCCGTAAATCATGGTAACTCCTTAATGATGTACTGGATAAAATTTGCGCCCTAATTCGGCTTCAAGTTGAATAAACAGACAAAATAAAAGGATGTTCATGTTAGAGACGATGAGTAAGCATTGCGTAGTACATGTTGGAATAGCATTTCCATGCATTCTTCTTCAGCACACTATTCGGACAATTTCCGTGGCTAAGTAGCACTAGGTGGCTTCCCCTTTACTTTACTATAAACAGGTTTTATTTCTCATTTGCATAAATTACATCGGTAAGTTTCATCTACTGAGGGTGTACTTCGTCCCACCATTTCGCCTCACTATTCACGCACTGTCCAGTGCTTTTCTTCTTCCACCTTCAGTAAGATGAAAGGGAAGAGTAAAATGGTCATGATTTTATATACCCGCTTTGGCATTATCAGCGGAACCTCTTTTCTCGTTCATCATATGAGTAAATGGCAATAATTGCCTTGAATAGTGGAGTTAGAATATGTTTTGGCTTCATGGGGTTGCAGAGAAAGAGACAGGGGACTTTTAAGTAAACTCAAAACACTTTTGTTGATTGAAGAAAAAGGAGAGAACAAAATTGGCTCTCCAATCCAGCCGAAGAACTGTTCGATGCAAAGAGTTGATTTGAAATTCCGAGAGTTCCTTTTCTCTGGACTTTAAAAGCATAACTTTTTGTACCTTTTTCCCAAAAAAAAACATTTGAATTCTTTTCTTGATGCACAGGTTTTAATTGTAAAACAGGGGCAGTTCTTTGGATTTAAAATATACACTTTTTCCTATTACTAAGGCGCTACTAAGGTTTCATTTATACCACAATTGAGTGGGTTTATAAGGATTTACAGCTTGATCATAACTAATAATCATCAGAAAGTCAAAAATTCCTAGAAATTTAGTTAGCCAAATATTTTGAAAAGATGTCACGAAAGTCTTTGTTTAGATTGTTCCCGGGGATTTTACGGTAGATCAAGACTGATTTTGGAATCAGTTATGCCTTAATTAATGCTTACCTCTGGGGTACTCATTATCCCAAAGTGGTAGATGCTAGACTCCCAGAGTTTACAAAATCGGTGCCTACGGCTCCGCATCCCCTTAGCTTCTATTGTTTGTCCACGTCACTAATACAGTTCAGACTGCTTAAAGTGGAAGAATACGTTATTGCGGACTTTGCGCTATAAAGTATTGGAATCGTGAAGCAGGACAATTTGCTTCAGTGCATTAAATTTCGGTGTTTAAGTGAGCTAGGAGAGATTTGTGTACCTGAAATGGATCAAAATAAACTTTAAATACAAAAAATTTTTTAAAATCCTATTGTTTGAGAATTCTGTCGTATTTGCGGACTTATATGGAATGAAGGCGATCTATGAAAGCTATTTTTTGACAACCCCTCTGCAGTCATCAATGACTGAGCCGTAAATTCGTGGGGTTGCCTCCTAAATGCATTGGAGATGTTGATCCCATGATTATGCATGCTGGGGATATGAAAAGCCTTTATTTAACTTGAGGCCACTCAGTATCTGGGTGAATAGTCGGCAAGGTTTGTTGTAGCTACCATTCTAAGGATGGGAATTGTGTGAGATCAGAAGGCGGAATAATTCAATCCACTGGCTCCAACTTCCACACCCCAATCGCTCTCTACAAAAGAAGCAGCGAATTTGTCAATAATGGCGTCGGCGGTGGCGGTGCTGGAATCGGCTGAGGAGGAGGTGATAGCTTAACAACAGCAAGTTCAGCAGCAGAAGACCATTAGAAACCAGTAGGAGGCTGGACGCGTCTTATCAGTGCGTCTAGTCATCCTCAAGGCTAATAGACGCAGGGAGCCTCTGGTCTCAGTGAAACTGACGGATCTGCCAGTCGGTGTCTGTGAAGGGTAGAGTGGTTGCGCGATCATTGTGGGACTTTGCTGCGATTAACGGATCTTGTTAATTAGTTTAAAATACGCAACTTCGTTAATGCTAT